AGTTTGCAAAGCAGGAAAGAGGAGGACCAGGGGAGGCACGATGGAGGCACCAGGGTGGTCTGGCCAGATTCTGGAGACCAAGGCTACAACTGGGCCCGAGTTTGACAGGCCCCAAGTAGAGGCTGGCAAGGCTGGTTCCCCAAGGGGATCTGGGAAGGAAAGAATTTCTGGAAGTTTTATTCAGTCTGATCCAATGTAACCCACCTGTGTGTGGTGCTGCTGTCTGTCTGTCTTGTGTAGTTTCCGGTCTCCACACGTTAACGCAAGTCTGGGAAAATTCAGACCCCTTCATGTCAAGCTACTCCAAACTTTCTTTCTTCTTCTTCTTTTTTTTCTTTTTAGATTTTATTTATTTTATTTATTTATTTTACAGAGAAAGACACAACGAGAGAGGGAACACAAGTGGGGGTACTGGGAGAGGGAGAAGCGGGCTTCCCAGCGAGCAGGGACCCCGATGCGGAGCTTGATCCAGGACCCTGGAATCATGACCTGATCCGAAGGTAGACACTTAATGACTGAGCCACCCAGACACCCCATGCTCCAAACTTTCTCAGCAACCTCAGCTCCCCCAGGAGCTGCCATACGGATATAACAGGCTTTGGTCACATGCTGGAGAAGCCTCTGGGCCTCCTCAGCATGCACATGGGAGAAGAGGGCAAGGCCGACCCTTTCACTCAGACCCGATGGCAAGCTCTCAGCAGCAAAGCTCAGACTCCTTGGCACATAGGGATCACGTCAATGTTGAGGCCTGCAGTAGCCTCCAGGGTGTCCCTGGGACTTGGGAAACCAAGATGCTGACTGCACAATGCATTGTGCCAGCTACACTGATGCGTGAGGCCAAATGCAGAATAAAAATATGAGACCCTTGATCAAAAGTCACTATGGATTTCAAGATGGCGACTGCAAATCATGAAACCAAGAAGGCCCCATGCTGCCACCCAGGATACACCGTGTGCTGGTGTGCCTTCTAGAGTGTGAAAGTGTGGGTTCCCTGTGGAGAAGAGGCCAGCAGGGGCCTCTGCTCATGTGGCTCAGTGCCATCATAGCTACAGGCTGGAGTCCACTGAGGGCAGCACCCACAGGGGCAGGCTCGCGCCAGACTCCTCACTACACCGTGGGGAGGAACTGATGTTCGGGACAGAGGGCACAGGTCAGACGAGCTAGATGGAATCGCAGCCTTTGAACATGGGAGAGGAAGAGTTTCTGAGTTCAGAGAGATGTGACCTCACACACCTGCCTGTATTGGCCCTACCAATTCAGTTGGGCTTGGAAAGAGCAAGCTGCAAGGAAGGATTGACCCAGGGATTCCTGCTTTCTCCCAATTTTGATAGAATTTTGGAAGAGGTAGAAGCCACAGTATTTCTCTTACCAGTAGGAAGGTCTGTGTTGTGTGAATGGAGGTCTCAGTTCTTGGATTCGCCAAGAAAGATTTACGTGAGGATCCGTACTCCATTAAGGACAGCCAGAAGGAAAGGAGCACGCACGAAAGAGTTAATTAAGGGCAGTACACTCTCGAAGTGGGACAGTGGGCAGGCCCAGAGGTGGTGACTGCCCTGGCTGCAGGGGTCCTTCCTTTTTATGTGAGCTGGGTCTTGCGTCATGGACAGACAGGGTGGTCTCTTATAGAGGCTGCTTCTAATCATTTGCGAAACTTCTCCCACAGGATGGGAGTGGCTGTTTTTGACCCTACGAAGTTTGTACCCAAACTATCATGGCGGCCTTCCCCCATGGTGGGAGAGAGCAAAACTGCAATGCAAATGCATAATAATGAGTCTAGGGGTTACCCTATAGCAGAGATGGAAGAGAAGAGCGCGTATTTTGCACCTGTGGCTCTTGGTCTGTTAGCCCCGGGGTCCTGGGAGCCACAATGTCAGGATGTTGAGGGGTCTTGGAGACCACAAAGTCAGGATGTTGTGTGTGCAGGCATCTAATGCATAAACTATCACTGTCCTTGCCTCCAGCTCGGGTCTAACTAGCTGCCTGCTCTGTCACTTCGTGACCATGCCAGCCGAACGTTAATCAAAGGGAAAAGGGTGTCCTTCTGTACCTTCTCCCCGAATGGATGCCTGGATGACTAGGGAAGCCTACATGAGTGAGGCAAGAGAGGCAGTGACCAAGGAGGGCCGAGCCCACAGGAAGGCAGCACTTGCCCAAAAGAACACAGGCTTTGTCTCTGATTCTTCCTGCTCATGAGACCATGACCTTTACCTTGAAGAAGGTCATCAGGAGAGAGGCCTGTGCAACAGAGAGAACTTGGGGTTAGCATCACAACCAGGGTTCAAATCCTGACTCCAGCAATTCCTGACTGTGGCTCTGAGCAAAGTGTGAAGCCTGCAAAAGCCTCCATCTCTGCTTCATTTGCAAAAGTCAGGATAAAAAGGTCTTTTATTCTGTGGTTGTTGTTTGAGCTACCAAGTGCAAGTTCCCAGCATGGCCCGCTGCACAGGGAATCCCCCAGGCCTCATCCCCGGCCCTTCTCATGATCTATCCACACCACCCCTCAACTCAGTGTGTCTGCCTGTGGCTTTCTGCTTGGCAGAACAGGGGACAGCCCGTCAACCCTACCAACTGGTCACTTTGCTGGGCTTCAGCTTCTTCATGGTAGTGATAATATCACACCCCTCCCCCCACGATATGACAAAAATGAACAGACTTTAGGAAATGTTAGGCGTGCAGCAGTAAAAGCAGACATTAGGCAGAGGGCTAAATAGCCATGTAACAGAGCGTCCAGTGGATGGCGCTGTTGCATTTCATTCTCTGGCTGGGGGTGAAAACCCTTTGGGGAATCCAGTGGGAAGAATAACTCGTGAAAGGGAAGCCAGAAAGCATTTCTTGGGGGCGCTCCTTGGAAGTTCTCTTCCCATCACATCCGTCCAAGTCAGTCAGCCTTGAGTCACAGCCCATGACAGCCTTCTGAGAGTGACCCAGTCCAGAGGCTCTCAGGCCTTGTCCCCAGCAGATGTTGTGCCATAGACGGCTTAGGACAAGAGGTGAGCAGGTCCCCATGCCCAGCCCATAACAGCCACAAGACAGAAGCATTGTAGTGCTCCTCAGAGTAGGAATATCAGAGCCAAGGCATAGGGAGAGGAGCCAGAGGGGGTTCCACTAGAGTTGGGTCTTCACAGACGGTGACTTGGGCTGTGCAGCTGGGAGTCGGATGGCCAGGGCAATTGCCTCCGAGACTGAGGGTGTGGCCCTGAGGGAGTGTGGCTGGAGCTGAGCGTTGAGCAGGGACATAGTAGGAGCTGGTGCTGGAAGAGTGGGGCAGGTCGCAGGCCACTGGGCAGGGGAAGACTCATGGCCCAGACCTCCCTCCCCTGGCATGGGGGAGATCAGGGAAAACATGGGCCTAACTGTTGCCCACTTGCAAATGTCTACTCTCTCACAGAACCCATACATGCCCTTATATGGACATTTCCACTCTCCCAGCCTACAGAGACACTGTCCCCGTGAGTCCTCCCACTGCTATGGCAACACTTTCTCCCTGCTCCCCAGGGAAAGAAGGGCCTATGGGGAGGGGTGGGCAGGGGACAGCATGGAGGGACCATCCTGCCCAGGTCTCACATTCAGGAAAGTCCACAGTTTAGACATTTGATTTTATTTCGAAGTGAAACTTTGATGCAGGCACAGAAGTACACCACCAGGACTAAAAGACATTCCTCGTCTGTCTTTAAGATTCAGCAACATTGTCGTACCAGGAATTAGTATTTTCTACAATTCCAGTAATTAATTGTATTTAAATTCATTAATTTGTATTAATTGTGTTAAAGCTTTTCATTGGTTCCACGTAAACATTTAACACAAACTTTTTTTAAAAAAATACACTGGGAGCTTCAACCAGTGGGAAAGGCCTGGGTCTCTTCAGGCCTCTTACAGGCTTTTCTCTGGCCAGTGGCCAGAAAGGCCATGGACTGGAATCTTCACCACTTCCAGACTCTTCCTCACTCCACCCCATTCCATGCGTGACCTCTAGAGTCAGAGGAGAGAATGGAACTCAAAGGAAATGGAAACTGTCTTTTCTCGGGATCAGTGGGTGCTGAGTCCAGTCCTGGGGCCCAAGCCAGGACACACAGCTCAAGAAAGCCACAGGTGCAGGCAGAGCTGGCCATGGCTAATAAGGACCTGAGTTCCTCAGTGGCTAGGAGCCCTCACCTAGGAAGGCTGGATGTCATCATTTGAGCACCTGTCACCAAGAAATAAAAATAAAACATCGCAAATACCAAAGCAAGGACACATTTATTCCAGCAAATTCAAATCCAGGTTCAGTCTCCCACAGAGTCCTGGTGGGAGGGAAGCCCACAGTTGTGTTATGCTGGTGAGCCAGTTATGCTGAGTAAATTAACAGCAGCCACCCCAGCTGTAGGCTGCCCTGTCCCTCAGGATAGATCATACCTGCTCCTTCCAAACCATCTCAAAGTTCGAAGCCACGGGCAGCTGGTGGTCGCATGTGAGATGCTGGTGGGAAAGGGCCCATGTCCCTCCAACCCCAGTGCATACTGCAACCCAAGGGCTCTGGCACACATTCTCTCCATCCTGCAGTTGGTTTGGGGAGTGTTCCTCAATGGTTTGAGGGTCATCTTAAAAATCATTACGCCATTGAAACAGCAGAGGCACTGAGCTGTTGGAATGGGCCCGGGGTGCTCCAAACAGCCCAGTCATACTGGTGGTACTGGCCAGGGCTGAATCCAGCTTGCCCCACGCTCCCTGCCTCCCAGAATCTAATTATTCTTTCGCTGCAAGGTGACCCAATAAACTTGGATGGGGTATTTGAGAAGCCCCAGGGCTTTGGTGGTGGACAGACCTATGCAGACCTACAGGTTGAAATCACAGCGTTGACCAGTGTTACTTCAACTGCCTGCATTTTGGCTCCTGCATGTGTAAATTGGGACTCATAACACCCATCTCACTGGGTTCTGGGAATCCATAAAATGATGGGTGTCGAGCACATGCTGTCCCTGTCCCCTTCACTCCCTGGGGTTATTGGAATGTGCCCTACCCTTCTCGCCTCCTTTAATCCCCGTAAATCTCTGTACCTCAACTGTCTATACTCCCCTGCCTCATTTGTGCTATTTTCTGCTGACTCCGGATTATTTTTCTCTTGTCCTCTTTCCATTGTCACCTCTTGCCCCCCAACAATCCTTCTAGGCTTTCCTCTTCTCCCCAATCCCCACCCTTCATCCCTGGCCATTGCCTTCCCCTGCGGTTAGACCCAGTGGTGTATGCTTGGTGTGGGCCGGCATTTACCTTCAGGACATGGCAGCTCCCTTTCCTCCCTCAGGCTGCCATGCAGGCAGACTTAGTCCCCATGATGCCCAGAGGGACTCAGCAGCCCTCCACCCTGTTTCCCCCCTGCCCCTCAGGCCAGCACTACCTGCACCCACACTCTGCCACGCTCATTCCTTCGTAATGGTACTTGAGGGTGGGGACTCCCATGTCATCCTTGTAGAGGATGGAGATGGGACTCAGTTTGGTGGGCACGCAGCAGGCCTTGCCCACCTTCATGGGGAACTTGAGATGCACTAGGGTCTGCACAATGGCATGCTTTGTCGGCGTGACGTCATCGGCTAGGGGGAAGAAGCAGCCACCTTTACATTCGTAAGCATCATACTCCTTGGGTGCGATGATCCAGCTGTCCCAGCCAATGTCCTCGAAGTTCACCCGCAGAGAGGTCTTCTGACAGTGGTTGTTGGCACCGGCACTCCTCTTCCGTCGGGCTAAAGAGGACGCTGCGGCCGTGTGACCTTCCCCGTCCTCCTCATCCCTGTGGTCACCTGCCTCTGTCAGACCATTCTTGGACAACTTCTTGAACATACTGTCCTTTTCATGGCCAATCATCTCCCGGAGCTCCAGCCTGGTCTCCTTGGTCCCATTGCTGCGGTCATTGGAGAAGACAACGAAGAAGGGCAGGTTTTTGGAGCCTGGGGGGACACTGATATCCAGCTTGTCACAGCCCTTCCTGTGACTCTCCACAGTCACTTCCAGTTTATTTTTGCTCTTGGTGGAGTCTGCTCTGACCCACCGCTTCACAGCACTGGAGACCTCAAAGGTCTCCCAGCCCTCATCCGAAATGTCCTGGGACACAAGGAATGTCTTGGTGTCTGCAGAAGCTTCCCAAGCATCTGCTCCATCCAGAACATCGTAAATGGCCATGTTGCCTCTCAGCTCATGAGAAGTGTCTGCATGACTTTGACAGGAGACATAAAGTCGGAGCTCGGCCCTGGTGATCTGCTCATGCCTAGGAATGGAGATATTGAAGAGCAAGATGTGCTTCTGGAAGGGGAAGTCTTCTGTGGCTGTGATAGAGACAGCATCTGAAAGGCAAGTACACAGGGATGGTCATCTTCCATGACACCAAAACTGAGACTCATGACTTGGGTCAGAGGGCATCCAGGATGACATTGACTGACTCTGTCAAGTCTTCATTTGGTTTCACTCAAGCCCTTAATGTAGAAGAGAATTTCAAAAGGTACATGTGGGACCCTCCAAAGCAAAACAGAGACAAGAGAAGCCTTGCATTGGAGTGGTCAGATCCAACTTCTTAGTAAGCATCTACTCTGCCCAGCATTGCACTGGGCACTTTGCATTCTATAATGCCCTATACTTTGCATTCTATACTCTTCACAGTGGCCCTGGGAGGATCTAATTAGTATTCCACTTTCACAGATGTGGAGACTGGATTTAGGCTGTTTAACTGCCAAGTGCACACATCCTGTAAAGCTCTTCACATAAAAAATAAAAAAAAAGTCAAATAAATGACATAGCAAAGCATATTGTCAGCCTCAGAGTGCAAATCCCGAGTGTGCGATGTTAAAGCAGATACCCTGGGAGGGGATGGTGAATTTCCAACATTAAGACAATGTGAAAAATCTCAGCAACTTAATGGCATAGAAACAGAATTGTTATTCTGAGCAAAGCAAAAGTGGATTTTTTTAAACGTTTGACGAGAATAAAGAAAGAAAACAGATCAGCCTTGATTGCTTTGTCATGTTAGGTAAAAATGAGGTTGAGCTTTGAGCTATACAATTGTCTCAGTTTCCAACTTCTCCTGGCTGGCACACAGTCATCAGGACATCTTTATTGTGCCATGGCTCGGTCACCAATATGAAGTCATTACATGAGGGGAGTCTGTGTGGTGCTATGAAATCCAGCAGTGTCTGACAGACTGCCTTGCTAATCTGGACTCAACCCCTTCCTAGGCTTATGACCTTGGAGAAGTCCTGAGTCTCTCTGTGCCTCAGTCTCCTCATCTGTAGAAAGGGGCTCATCCTAATGGTCTTTCAGGGTTGGTGTGAGGCTTCCACAAGATGGCACACAGAACTTACTGTCACTTTCCCTGGCTCATAGCAGATGCTTAGTCAATATTTCTGTGTCCTTCCCAGGCCCTCCTCCCCAACATGCATGTCCCCCTCAAAGCACATGGCCCCTCACCCAGTCTTGATGTGCCTGACATTCTGGCTCCTGCAGAACATTTGTGAATAGTGAATGGTGTGTATGAGCATTAATGGCCTACTGTGCTCTTACTGTGCCATGCTTTGAAATCACTATGGGACCATATCACACATCTAGAAAACAAACAGCCTCTCTACCTGAGCTTCCCTTGGACTATCCATGGAGGAAAGCGTAATTGGCCTTCACAGGAGAGCTGGCCATAGGCACAGCTGTGACTGAGTCAGAAAACTTGTTTTGGGTACATGGAAAATGCTGGACATGGGAGGGGCTGATCATCGAGATGGTGCCAAACGCTGGACTCTGAGACTATGGGATTTGGTGATTAGGTCCAGCCAATGAAACTCAGCCTTTTCCTAAAGCACAGGCAACAGACATGCCCCAGGAGCATGGTGAGATGCTGGCAGCCGCTGGGTGATCTGCGGGTTGTAGCATCCTTCAGACATGGCGTGTGCTCTGCAGGCTGGGTGACCTGCCATGGCACCAAGCCAGCCCTTTTAGGGATTTGCAGGTGTCAAACCTGGGAGGAGAGAGGCCCCATGTGCATGGGTGTTCAAAGAGACAGCAGCAGCAGGAAAAGCCCAAGATTTGTAGGCACATGGGGCCTGTGGCAGAATCCAGCTGCCGGACCACTACGTGACCTGGGCAAGTTCCCCCAGCATCTGCAAGCCTTGGCTTCCATGCTCACAAAATCATTTCACTTACATTGGGTGAATTAGTGGGGGCAGTGTGAAACAAGGGTTTGTTACCTTTCAGCCCTTCCAAATCAGGTAAATCATTTTCTATTTAGAAAATAAGTTGTCCTCTCAAAAAAATTTATTGGACTTGTAGATACCTTTTGGTGGAAGAGAAACAGACATTCTTTCAAAATTAAAAAATAGGGGCGCCTGGGTGGCTCAGTGGGTTAAGCCGCTGCCTTCGGCTCAGGTCATGATCTCGGGGTCCTGGGATCGAGTCCTGCATCGGGCTCTCTGCTCGGCAGGGAGCCTGCTTCCCTCTCTCTCTCTCTCTCTCTCTCTCTGCCTGCTTCTCTGCCTACTTGTGATCTCTCTCTGTCAAATAAATAAATAAAATCTTAAAAAAAAACCCAAACAAACCCAAAGTTAAAAAATACACCCATCGGTTGAAGGCTAAATAGGTTGTCTGTTTCAAAGCAGGAAAGGGGAAGAAGAGAAGGAAGGGATGGAAGAAAGGGAGCTGGCATTCCCGTAGGCACGGAATATGTAAAATTGGCCCGGGGCCCAGAGAAGAACCTTCTATAGCAGAGCTGTCCAGTAGAACTTGCTGCCAGGGTGGGAATGTGCTATACTCTGCCTTATCCTATAAGGTACCCATTAACCACACATGACTATGGAGCGACGGATCCCAAACCAGTGAACTAAGTTATTAATTTTATTTCATTTTAAGTCATTTAAATTTAAAACTTAAAGAGCCTCCTATGTCCAGTGGCTACCGGACCGGGCAGTGCAGCCCTGATCCCTGTGTCCCCCCCAACCAGGGGGAGGGCCCCGGCGGAGCCGACTCTACCTTCCACGCTGAAGCTGCGCACGATGTTGGACGCAGGGGTGGTGGACTTGTCGGTGGTGTATCTGTTGTACAGGTCGATCATGTACTGGGGTGGTTCCGCTCGGGTTCTGTCCTGGGAAGGGATGCCGCTGAGGTTGAGGCTGCGCAGGAAGTCCACCTTCATGTTCTCCAGAAACATCCTCAGGTCGAAGGCGCCCCCCTCCCGCTCCCCTCCAGGCCCCGGGAGCAAGCGGTGGGCATCTCCCCCGGCTGACGCCCTTCCCCGGCTCTCTAGGGGTTTCCCGGGCGCGCAGCCCGCCAGCAGGGAGAGCACAGGCAGGGCCACCCAGAGCGCCCCGCAGCACATCTTGGGACGGCGCTGTCGCCCTTAACGGGAGACTGCGGGCGGTGGCCGCGGGTGTGTTAGCGGGCGCAGGGAGAGGCTTGGAAGGAGCGGGCCGGCATTTTCCTGCCCACGGCTCAGCACCGAGCCCCGGGGCCAGTTCACAGGCTCTCACCCGCAGTTCCCCAGAGTGGCCTCCACTTGCTCTTATCTGGCCCTCGATGCCGTGCTCCCACCTCTTATCTAAGGGAGCTCTCTGTTAATGAAGGCTCTATAAACATCTGACAAACACGCAGGGCTTGTGGGAAGGACACGGCCTGCTGCAGAGAGCCCGAATTTCTCCGTGGGGTTATCACCCCCTAATTAGGATCCTCTCTCATTTCCTTGCCAGCTCTGGTCCGAAGAATCTTGAGACAGGGTGACACATGCTCCATCTCTTGGGCCACACAGAGAATCCAGGAAACAGACAGGACCGGAAAGTCCTCCAAATATAGAACCGACCCAAAACTCTCAGAAGACCTTGGCAAACGGTGGGTAGGGTCGATGCCGGGGTCTCCCTGGGTGAACAGGAGGTCTGCTCCCTGGGGAGCACACTGTTTTGCCTGTGTGTGTGGATGGAGAGGAACCTGCATGCTTTCTCATCTGTGGAGGGAGTCCTGAACCTAGGGATCATGGAGGAATGCAGCACCAGGTGAGGGAGGCTTTGGAGTCCCCAAGAGGAGGGTTCAAATCCTGGCTCCCTTACTGACTGCCCACAAGTGTCACTTGACCTCCCTGAGCCTCGGGTTTAGAAAAGACATGTGAGAAATCAAAGATGATCGCATACAAAACTTCATGGCAGTGTCTGCAAGCTCGGGTCAGCTGGGTGGGCACATTCTGGCTGCCACTTCCCTGCACCTCCTCAGCCTGCTCTCCAGAGGACACCATACCCATCCTGATACTTGCTGCCCAGCCCTCAGAAGAGCTCTGTCCCTGGCTTGGGGCTGGGGGCGGTCCTTGCTTGTGTTAGCTGGGTGATTCCTTGGGCCACACTTGTCAGCCAGGAGAAGCAAGCAGTCTGGGGAAAGGAAGGAAAGGGAACAGGGAAACCCTGAGGACAGCATGTGCCCAAGAACTGTCCTGCTGGCCCTAGGAGGCCAACAAGCTGCAGCCCACTAGGGGTCTGTGAGGTCCTGGGGTCTGCATTATGGTAAAACCATCATGCCCATGAGTAGACTGTCCATTCCCATTATGTGTGGGTTTGACTGAGCTAAAAAAAAAAAAAAAAGGAGTAGTTGCACATCTCAGGGGTCTACTCAGAGGGGGATTTGAACATGGAGTCTTTCTGTGCTGGCAGGCCTCCTGGGGAGAGGGAGCGCTGAGCTGAGCAGCTTCAGGAAGATGGAGGAGGGGCGACGCCGGCCAGCGGGCGGAGGTCAAGGATCCCAGTGTGTGCCCAGCATTATTCTTTCCACCCTTAGTGGGGGCAGGGTGAAACCAGGGGCCTCAGACTTGCTGGGCCTGGACAGAACTTGCTGTCCCCATCCTTTGGGAACACTGTCAAGGGAGGGTGGATGGGAAAGGGTGCAGCTTCAGAAGTGGCTGCTTGGAGTGGCGGCAGGAAGCACGCTGGGCCTTGAGCCAGCTCAGTGCAAGAATTCGCTAGGGCAGGGGAAGGAGGAAGGGGTGCAGAGCCTGGAAATGGAGCTGAAGTGTGCAGCAAGGAGGGTCTGGGAGGAGCTGGAGAGCCAGGCAGGCATACCCTATGGTGCTCCAGTTCCTGGGGGCAGCCCAGAAACAGGCCACATTCAAGAGGCAGAGCCAAGGGACACATGGGAGTGGCCTGAATGTGGTCAGGGGAGCATAAGGGGCTGCTACCTGATGTTTTCTTAAAAACAGGGTAGATCTTATTTGCTGGTTGTAACAGTAGTATATAGGCAGATGATTTGGGAAATGCAAAACATTGTGAAGAAGGAAATAAAAATAACCTACAGTCTCACTCACCAGTGATGCCCACAGTTAATATTTTGAAATCCAGGATATGAGCTCCACAATCCCCAATTTACAACCCTTTGGGCCAGGAGTGTTTTGAGATTCAAAAATGTTCGGATCTTGGAAATTTGGTATGGCATAAAAACTGTAATATTCCCAATGGGGGTGGGGTCAATACCTTATAATCAAGTACATTAACGTTTCTGCAGTGAAACAAATAAAAACACACATACCCATTCAGATCAGGTTTTGCCACAAAAGGAGTCAAAAGGAACTTCAGGTTTTCTGATAGTTTTGGGTTTGGGATCTCAAATAAAGGACTGTGGACCTGTTTACATGTGGGATCACCACATCTGGCCATGGAGGCTGCTCAGGAGCCCTGCCTGTAATGTGGGTGATGCCCCCAGAGCCGTGTACTTCTGGAATTATCTGCCCAGTGAGCTCAGGGTATCGCTACGTCCATGGGTCCTTCCTTTACTGTTTTCAACTAATGGCATCAGGCCTCTTGATCCGTATCACCAGGAAGTCTGATCCATTTCTTAAACTGTCCAAGTGCCCTACAGGTTTGTTTAGTCCAAAGAGGTAGAGGTGGGATGGTAACAGTCCAGCTTCTTAGTGCTAGAAGTGACGAGGGAGAAAGGGGTTCTAGCAGGTCCCGCCTGCTGTCATTTTCAATGACACCTAGTTTTGCTGCTGGAGATGGGTCCCACATACCTAACAGGGGCTTGAGCACAGGTGCTGGGATGCCCTGACTGGTTCAGGTTTCTTCCCAGGTCTCCATAATGTCCCCGCTTTGGGCACTGAGATAACTGATGTCTTACGCACACTCCCAGGCTTACCCTTCTTCAAAGGCAGGTATCTGGACCAAGAGAAGAAGACATCTATGGCCATATTGTGATCCCATTCTGCCCTCTCTCCAAACCTCTAGGTTCTTGTGGGGAGCCTGTGCTGCTAGCTCAGCCTCCCAGTCTCCTCAAGGTGGTGTGATTTCAGAGACCCTCTTAGGAGGGGGAGTGGGAACAGAGTTCTAGGTTTGCAGGATGAAAGGATTCTGCAGAGGGACGGCAGTGGTGGTTACAGAACAATGTCAGTGTACCCAATGCCACTGAGCTGCCGATGGTAAATTTTATGATATGTATATTTTACCACAATTAAAAAAAGAATTTTTAAAAAGTATATCACTTAGAGTTCTTTTTGTGGTAGACTGCAGAAAAGCAGAATCCAAACAGTTGTAAGCAAAGAGGATTACGGCTAACTAATGAAAGTTGCGAAGTCCAGGGAAGATTTGGCTGTAGCCCAGCCTTGTCCAGAGTACAGACCAAGTTGTAGTGGTGTTTTCTTCACGCCCAGAGCAGCCTTCCACTCTGTGGTCTTCACCCTCTGCCTCCCTGTTTTAGCGAGATGGCTGCAGCAGGTCCACACTGCATCCAGTGCGCCGGGTGGGGGTAGAGTGAGGACAAAAGTCTCTTGTCTAGGAAGTCCCCGTTAGTCTCAGTGTGGCTTCTCGGTCCTGTTTGGGTCATCTGTCCGTGCCCTAGCCAATCACAGTGAACAAGGGGAATGCAATGCTCTGATTGGCTTAGATGGGGGTGATGCTGCTGAGAGCGAGGAATGAGAATCGGATTGGGATAATCCCTGAGAGACATCTACATCTGGTCCCCGGAGGAAGCCACTACTAAAAGATGGTAAGATGGTGTCAGTATCTTCACATGCCATGAAAAATTTTCATATACCTCACTTTTAGTGACTGAATAATATCCAACAGTGTGGACCTATCCTAATGTATCCAACATTCTCCAGCCGTAGGACAATTGGGGTATTTATTACATGTTGCAAGGCACATTGTTATAGGCTAAATTTTATATTACTTTCTGGAGACAGTTCATTGTAAGAGGGATGTCCAAGTCAAAGTGTATGCAAACGACTTCAAAGCTCTTGGTAAACATCGCAAGTTGCTTTCCAGAAATGTTCTTTTACTATTCACTTCCATTAGCAGAGCCTAAGGACCCGTCTTACCACCCCTCAGAGGTAGCTTTTTCTAGTCTTTAGTAATTTGATGAAAAAATGTGTTAACTTGCCTTGCTAGCTAACAGGACCTTATTTCTCTATGTTTTGATAAGCCACTCCACAGGGTCTGGACTTAACTTTCTAGAAGGTACAGTGGTAGCTGCCCCATACCCACACCTGGTCCAGGGCTGTGCTCAGGAATCTTGTTTGGTTCCATGTTGTGTGTCCAGGGAGAGGACTGGAGTGATCCACAGAGGCCTGCGTGCTCCTAAGGAACACTGAATGCCATGAGTACAGAACCTGGCACACAGTAAACATTCAGCAAGTACTTGTTCTTGCTCTTGTCTGTATAATGTCCAATCTTTCTGTCCCTGTTTTGGTTACCCTTGGAGCGGCTCTGCCCTTCCCTTCCTCAAAGCCCCTGCCTTAGCTGTGCTTTCAGTTTAGAATGCCTCATACTCTTCCTCACTGCCCTCCACCTGGGCCAGTACCCCCTGCCTTTTAGTGCCTGCTCAGGACTGCCCTCCACTGCTTAGCCTCTGTGTTCTGAGTGACAGCACTCAGACATCTGGATTCATCTGACAACCACTGTGACAGACCCTAGGACCACTTTCTACTGTTGGCTTGAGGTGGCACATCCTTCCGGCAATTTGACATGGCCAGAGAGTGGGCCCTGTGTTCATGGTGGATCGGACAACTCCTCCGGGCAGGCCTCCATGGTCGTCTCTGCACATGTCCTTGAACACTTCTGGGTACTCCTGGCCCTGTGTAGGTCAGGCTGGCTCTGCCCTGGTGGGTGCTGACACAGCCTTGTCCCCCTATCTGTACTTGATGCCCAGACAGTTTGGCATTACTATGCTATGGTGGTATTTAACCAAAGCCCGTGTAGTACCATCCCTCCCAGGACTTGTGAATTACAAAAATAGAGTCAGCACATGCAATTGCTATGGGAGTGGTACAATTTAATGAACAAGAGAGGCGTATCTGACTCAGCTATTTATTTCAAGGACCGTTGAAGTTCATCTCTCTAACAAACAGACTTCAGCCTTCATTTATGGAGGTGGGACAAGATCTGCCTGTATTTCTGTGACACAGCTGCCTCCAAGGGGTGGAACCCCTCTGTCCCAGGAAGTATGCCATGAAGACACCTCTCTCTGTGAGCTTCTCATACTCTACATTTACCCACACATTGCCCAGCAAATGAAAACTGGACCCACCCTGAGGCTGTGAGGAGAGAGAATGAGTCGGGTTGAGCAGACCCTATGCCTCTTCCCAGCTCTGGGCCTAGCCTCTGTGAGACCCTGCTGGCATCTGGCACATGGTAAGTACTCAACCAATGTGAACAGCCTTTCCCAGGACTGTGCTCAGCTGGTCATTGCATTTTTTGGAAGAGTAGTTCTTGAAGTGTGGTTCCTGGACCTCCGACAGCAGCTCCTGAAAACTGGTTAGAAATGCAAAATATTGCCTTGGGTTGGCAACTCTAAAGGTAGGGCCCAGCAACCTAGTCAAACCTCCATCTGATTTTGATGCACATTCAAATCTACACATTGGGTTTGATAAAAGAGGAAATTGGTACGAGCCTTCCAAGAGATAAAGCATGTCAATATTGCCTACTATGGGATTGGGCACACAGTAGCAGCTAAATAATTGAACAAACAGGTGCATTCCTCTGCTCATCCCTACTCATACAGACAGGACTGCTGGCACAGACTGAGGGATTTCGGGTGGGATTAGAATGGAGAGGGAAGAAAAATATTGTAAGGCTGGAACGAGCATCATTCTCTCCGAGAGTAGAAAAGAGGAGGGAATAAAAATCTCAGGTGCATCAGTTTATCAGTGAAGGATTTTATGTTTCCAGCTTTTGGTAGAAGGAAATAACCTTGAAGAGACAGGGCTGGCAAGCTGGTCCTGCCCTGCTGGTCTTTCCCCCAGAGTCCCGTCCCGCCCTTAAATGCATTTTGCACAATGCACTATGCCCCAGCCAATCCAGCTCTTCCATCCTGGTGGAATCAACTCCATTCCTCTCCCTTGGGATCCCCCTCCTCAGACCTTCCCACCCCTACCCTAGACTTCTGCAAACTCTTCCAGTCTGGCCTGCATATGTCCTGGCCACAGAAGCATTAGCGATAGGCCACAGCACATGTGGCATTTTATGAGTGACTGAGACATACAGAGGCACCTGTTGGTGCTAAACCAAGGCTAAACACTTGGTGGCACCTGGACTCAGTTTCCCCATTTGTTAGGAAAAAAGGTTACATCAGAAGTTTTCCAAAGTCTCCCCCCCCCGCACCCCGGCTGCCTTAAAGTTTCTACCTTTCAGTTGTACTGTCTCTAACTGTCACATGAATTAAACTATGAGGTCCCACCCTTTCAGAGGTTATAAGCTTTCAGGAACAGGGCTCAGTGGCAGGCCACCACACTGCTCCCTCCAAGCTGACACCGATGAAGATGCGTGACCTCAGGGATCCATGCACATCTAGGTTGTGTGCTGGAGCCTTTTACTTTTGTGACAATGTGATACCGATATTTGGCTTTTTTTTAAAGATTTTATTTATTTATTTGACAGATAGAGATCACAAGTAGGCAGAGAGGCAGGCAGAGAGAGAGGAGGAAGCAGGCTCCCTGCTGAGCAGAGAGCCCGATGTGGGGCTCGATCCCAGGACCCTGGGACCATGACCTGAGCCAAAGGCAGAGGCTTTAACCCACTGAGCCACCCAGGCGCCCCTGATATTTGGCTTTTAAGAGGGAGAAAAAATTGTTTCATACAAACATTTCTTTCTAAACATTGCTTTACTGTAAGGTCACTCAGTGCCATTGGGAAAACCCTAATCAGCTTGTGGGGAGGGGGTCACTCTCTGGGAAGCTGGGGAGCAGCACCAGCCACACAGGCCTTATATCAGGCAGCCTTGGATGTGAAAGCCGACATTGTCCATGGTTTAGTTAAGACGTAGTTGGTGGCCCTATTATTTATCTGTCCTGGACCTGTTTTTCTGTTCCACCAATTAGGAAGTTAAGTTGCTGTGAACCTGCAAGACGCTGTATCTGAACCGTGTCGTCTTTATAAAGGTTAGCAGCCACCGAAGACACCAGTTCCTTCCAGCACACTCCAAAGTCATCACTGCTGGGGAACATCCATCCTGGCACAAGCGTGGAGCCCCTGCATGGCTGGACGCAGGGGCGATCCTCCCAGCCTGCCCCCCAGCCTTGCAAACTGGACATGAAGGTTCGCAGAAGCTGTAGGGCTTTGGAGTGACCCAGATCTCCCAGGAACGGTGAAGGCCAGAAAGCACAAGACAGAACTCTTACAGGACACCCCAGCTCCATCATGAAATAGAAGTGGAGGAGTGTATGAGAAAAAACTGAGGGGCTCAAGGAATAAGCAAGAATCTATATTGAGAAGAAGGGCCTTGGGAGCCTTATTAAGTTGCAATATTTTTACTCATTTTGCTATTAATGTATATCCTGTTCTATTCCGAAAAGGATTAGATGTGGCGAGCCAGACACTCCGTGTGCAGATCAGCTTGAGACAGCCCAGCACCCAGGGCCCGGGTCCTGTGGGCCCAGCGCAGTCCCTGCAAGAATCAGGCAGCATGTGTGCGGAGGACCACCTGATCTCTGCCTGTGGGGCTGGGTGGGGGGGTGGTTGCTGCGTGTCCAGGGCTGCTGTCCCCTCATGACCAGTTGGAATGCTTCGGAGGAGACCCTAGGCAGACTCTGCTGGGCTCTGCTGGGGGACCCGCAACCCCTCCCTCCCCCACCTACCTGTTCTGGGCTCTCCTTCCAGGGTCTGTTGCTCTGCTCTCAGCTGCAGCCACCACAGCCTTCTTCAGAGGCCCCATGGGCTTCTAGAGCTACCACGAAGAGGGCCAGAGAACTGGAAGCTTCCATCTCCCCACTGGGCGCCGCCTGGAGAAGAGGTCTGAATGTCCAGCTCCCTCGCTTCAAGGCTGGGCGAACCCTGAGTTATAATTAAGCTCCAGAGTTTCCCACAAGAGCCAGGATCTGGGATGCTTGGTTTCTTGGCCTCCTGACCAGCTTCCCCCCATCCTTGCCTATTTCTCTTGGGAGCATTTCCTCATCTATCCCTTGCCCAGACACACTCAGCTCAGGAGCCTGACTTAAGATAGATGCCATGGGATTCTTTTCTGCTCCTGTGTCCCCTCAGGGCACTGCTCATGGCTTCTCAGATTCCTCCGAGTAACACTTGGGGCTGCATCACCGTCTCAGGTCCCACCTGAAGGGCTATTATACACCTGCCCCAAGTCGGACCCAGATTCTCCTTCAGAAATGCTGGTCAGTCAGCTTTGGGCACTAGAGTTGATGTCTGCTTGGGGTGATGTCAGCTCGGGGGTAAGAAAATCATTTATGGGAAGCTGTTTTGGGATGGGGCTACTGATGGGGAAGGAGGAGCCCCTGGACCTTAGGAGATACTCCTGACTGCTTCCGATTGAATCTCTTGCTTGAACTACCCCAAGTAAGAATTCTCTACCCAGGACACCTCAGATATTCCTTTAAATGTCTTAGACATCTTTCCATTGCTCAGTGTCCCCTCTGAAACTAAGGAGGTGAGGAAGCTCTGTGGGGCTTCTGTGCCTGCCTGGGGCCCTGTCCTGCCTGGATGAGTCCAGGATGGCATCTGTGCAGCAAAGTGGGCGGGTAGGATGCTGGAAGGCATGGGGCAGCTGGTTTCCAGAGCTTAGGATAGAGACAAGAAGGTGTAGAGAGGCCTAGGGGGTCTCTGCTCCTAACCAAGGCCCAGCGGCCACCAAGATGGCATATTTGTAGGTGGGGATCTATCCATATTCTGAAATGGGTGACATTCAGTTTTTCAAGATACCACTGTACCTTCAATTTATTAGCTTTCCATAAAACACATAACATACACAATCTACAGTATAGAAAGTTTAACTTACAAAAATATAAAAATCTTGGTTATTTTTTAGTATTCCAACATATTACTGCACGTGTTATTTCAATAAACAGGTTTAAACAATGTACACTTAACCAGCCTGATTACCTCTGTGGGGAATGGTGTCCACTCCCTTCTCTTTATCTTAAAATAAAATATATATTAAGAAAAAAAACCACAATGGGTTATACGTGCATACTATATGTGTGAAAGCTTTTGTAGTGGAATTTCAAAGTTCATATCATTATTGAGGCGCTGCGTCTCAGTATCAGTATGTGGCCCAAAGTGTTTTCAACTAACTGTCTGAACAGAGGTTCATTCCTTGTGACGAGAGCAGGTGTCCTCACATTTGCAGCCTTCTTCCCTGGTTATGAGATCATGGTCACAAAAGCCAACATGGTGGCCACATTTGACTTTCGGGTCTTCAGAGCAGAGGGGATGAACCATGAGCAGCCTTCAGGCAAGGGCTAATTCCCTTCAGGGGATTCAGACTGGCATGTGGAGGGCTAAGTCATCAGCAATGAGAGACTCCAGAATGGGCCCTGGGGGACAGATCTTTCTGGAACCCGGTGAGGGTGCCTGTGAGCTCTGCCCTGTATATGCAGCTGTATCCCTCATGAAGCCCTTACCCTGGAAGGCCCTGAGGATGCTGCCCTGCTGGAAATGGGGCAGGGCGGTTTCCTTCCACCCCAGAGTGGCTGGTCTTACCGACAGGCACAGGTCTCCACAGACATGTTGGGGTATACCTTCAGAACCATGTTCCGGTTCTCATCCAGGAAGAGGACCCCAAGAGAGTTCATCTTGTCAGGAACACAGCAAGGCTCTGGGATGCCCGGGACGATGCCCACAGCCCTGACGATGCTCTGGATGGTGGCGTGGTTGGACGGGCGGACAATCTGCCAGGCAGGAAAGGAGCACAGTTACCTAGGCGCTCAGCCCTCACCCACCCGCTCTGCCACCGGCACATCCCCGATAGAGGCCACAGAAAAAGGTGTCCACCTAGAAGAAAAGGTAAGGTTCCAGGGGCACACATTTCCTCTGAAGTCAGCCACAGACTGAGTCCCAGGGAGGTGTGCCAAAGCCTCAGGCCTTCCTGCCCCTTGGGTCTCCCGGAGGGAAGTCACATCCCTACATGAATGACCACTTGGGGGCACCTGCGTATCGCACATCCCCAAGGAGCCCTTGGACGCTTCCCGTGGGAGCGTGTTCTTAGTCCTGGAGGGGAAGGCCCACAGGCATGTGTGCACCAGCACAAGGGGGCTGAAGTGCACATTTCCCAGATGGGTCTAACTGTGGGGTGTCAGCAGCTGCCCCACCTCACCACCCCATCTTGTCATAGTATCCACTCTATGGGGTGGCATTACCTTGATTTTACCTGTGAATAAGGGGAGGTTTAAAATGTCTAAGTAGAAAGGGTGCCTGGGTGGCTCAGTGGGTTAAAGCCTCTGCCTTCAGCTCAGGTCATGATCTCAGGGTCCTGGGATCGAGCCCTGCATAGGGTGCTCTGCTCAGCGGGGAGCCTGCTTCCCTTCCTCTCTCTACCTGCCTCTTTGCCTACTTGTGATCTCTGTCAAATAAATAAAATCTTTAAAAAAAAAATGTCTAAGTAGCTTGACCAAGACCCCTCAGCTAGGAAACATCCAAAAGTCATAGAAAGTTGGAAACCATGTGCCGTGCAGGCTTTCTTTCCCTCCCCGGGCAGCCTCGACACCCAGAGGAGTCGGGGGCCCAGCCACAAACACAGAGAAGGCTGTTCTCAAGCACTTCCAACAAGAGAAACAGGACCAAGTCATGGGAGTTTCAGCTCACTGCAGGCCAAAGGAAGTTTTATATGTAGCGCGTTGATGAGAAAGGCCCCTTGCGTGGAGGGGTGGGGAGGACAGCAAGGTAGGGATGTCTGAGTTGTGGGCTCTGGCCGCTGTCAGGGAAGGCGGCAGGCAGCCAGCCAGACTGATAAGGTGAGTGCCGGGTCAGCCAGCTGGAGCCTGCTCACTGCTCATCTGGCAGCTGCCCAGGCCTGTGCTAGGTTTTGCCAGCCCACACCTGCCTCTCTGTCCATCACCTCCCTTCCTCTCCCTTGCACATGCAAGAAAAGCCCCTTAATTCCCAAGCAGGTTAATGCTGCCCCATGTCTGCGGCTGGAAATCCCAGCGACTGATTTATTTACATTCAAATTGGGATTTATGCACGGACTTCCTTTCTGGAAGGGGAAAGAATGACCTGGAACTCAGCAGAGGAGCTAAGCAGGAGGAAAGTGTGCACTCCTTGGGGAGGGCCGACCTCAGCTGGCAGCCAGCCCACCCAGCTCTGGCTGTGGGGAGATGGATGGACAGAGCCGCAACCCAGCCTGCAGGGAAGGGGAGACTCTGCAAACCCAGGGCCAGCACGGTGGATGAAACAGCCGCGTGCCGTGTTGCCTGCAGACTCGTGTGCAGTGAGAGCTAGTTGCCCCCTGGGTCTCCATTCCTCTGAGGGAGGCAGGGGTGGGTGGGGGTGGGGAGGAGTCCCTAGGAAGCCACTGAGGCCAACTCTGCTGGTCATAGATCCCAATGCCCTGAGGTCCAGGCCAGGAACAGAAATGAGAGCCTTGCGGAGGAAGGGGCTTCAGAGGCCTGTCTTGCCTACGGTGTAGGGAGTGTGGGTTGGGCAGCATGTAATCAAGCTCTGTAAGGCCATTGCTATGTGGGAACACACACCTGTGGGGATGGATTCTCTGCTTTTCGAAAGAAGACATGTTCAGATTTGAAATTCAAACTGAGTAAGTCAGCCCTTTCAAAAGCCCAGCCAAACTACATCCATCTGTGGGCTGTATTCCCCTGACAGGCTGACTCCCGAGGACCTCTGCCTACCCATTCCCACCTTGAATAGAGAAGGGAGGTCTTCTAATGCCCAGTTCACAGCTGGGAAATAGGTCACAAGGCAGTGAGACTTGCCAGGAGGGGCAGAGCTTGGGAGGCACAGCCAGGCAAGAGGCTGGACGCAGCGGTGTTGCTCAGACAGCCTACCTTGGGCATGGGGAACTCGCACACCCCCGCACAGTAGTAGGCATCAAAGGATTTGGGCAGGACGATCCATTCATTCCACCCGATGTCTGCGAAGTCCACCTTCAGATACCTGCGGGAGCAGACCCTCGGCTCGGCCCACTGCTTCCTCCGGGCTTTCTGCATCGTCTTCTCGTCGAAGTCCAGCTCCCGTGAGGATGCCATGAACACATCCTGGCCCTTCTTCCTTCGGTCCTTGCGCCCTGGCCGTGGCTTCAGGGCCCTGAAAGGGCTGGGCCACAGTTCGTGCCTATGATAGTGCTGGGCGTGGGGGGCGGGCACCGGCCTCTCATCCAGCCCTGGCAGCTCATTGTCCTGGAGGGGCCCAGTGGCCTGAGTGGCCCGGCGCACGCGGGGGTCCGCCGAGCTGTTGGGGGCCGTGCCAGGCTCCGGGTCTCCAGCCTGGAAGGGGTCATATCTCTGCAGTGTCACTGCCACACTGTTGGGCTCTGAGATGGCCAGGTCATCAGCGTAGATGAGGATGTAAGGCTCATGGGGGCTTGGCCTGGACACCCCTGGGGCCTTCTCCCCAGAATCCAGCTGGGCAGAGAGGAGCAGCTCGCCATCCTGGCGGGCTGCCTTGACGATGGGGGAGATGTCCTTGGCCTGCCACAGGCCCCGTGGCGGGGGTGCCAGGGCCATGGCCCCGCGAAGCAGCCCCTGTGTGGCCGTGTTCCGAGAGAGACTGCGGAAGACCAGGTGCTGGCCTGTGGGCAGGCCCGGGGGCAGGAGGCGGCATGACACGTTCTTGGCCCGCTGCTTGCAGGGTACCTCTCGTGCCCGGGGCCACCGAGGTTCCGAGTAGAAATGGAATGTGGCTGAAAGGATCATTTCTGATTCCTGCAAGGAAGTCAGGTTGAAGAAATACACAGCCTTCTGGTCGACCATTTCTGTGAGGGCAGGATAGACCACAACAGGTTAGGTTCCTTCTTAGATAGGTCCGTCCCAGTGTTCACGGGGTCTCCCACCTAGGACTGGGATGGAGGAAGTGTGTCCATTTAGGGAGCCCCTCCAGGCCAGCCAGGCCTTCCTATCTCAGGTCATCCTCACAGTAAACTGAGGAGGGCGCCCTTACTGATCCTCAAGGAACAGATGAGGAATTGAGGTCAGAGGGGTTGGGGTTTATTACTATCCCATTATAAAAAGGAAAAGGTAGCAGATGGGGGGTGGGGGTGCTCAGACACCTCTGTGTGTCCTCTTCCCGCACTCCAGCGCCCTCAACACACAAATGCACAAATGCCACTGATGCCTCTGGGGAGGAGAGAAGGTGGCGTCAGGTTTTCGGGGTACTTTGAGCCAGGTGCAAGCCCTGTGAGAGCGCCCCCTCACCCACCGTATGTACCCAGCCCTCTAGTTCACAAATATTAAATGCGGTCATTCTTCCAAAAGAGGTGAGTGAGGCTGAGCACCCCTGACTCCCCCATGTGTCGAGTGCCTTCTGAGGGAAACTGGACTTGAGGGCGCAGTGGTCTGGGCTTTTGCTACGTGGTCTGCCCAAGGGCTTGTCAAGCTTGTTTGACAAAGGAAGAGCAATTTCAGGGTTGCACAAGGCCACTCGACAAAGTCTACAAAGACCAGCTTTGCTCTCGAAAGGCCCGTATCATGAGAAGGCCTGGCATTCCTCAAACATCCAGTCTGCAGCTTGAGAAAGCTCCAGGTCCGACATCCCTGGGGCTGTCAAACACCTTTTCCTTCTAGCCTGGTTCTCCCAGGTGTACCCCAGGGCCAGGAGGCACAGCACCCTCATCTGTGGCCCCAGAAAGCTGTGCCGAGCCCCAGCTGCATGAGTTCTCTGAATGGCCATGTCCTCTGGAGGGTTCGGGTAGGAGGGAGGAGTTGTTCCCAGGCCTCGCTGTGATCCTGCAGGCGGGCAGGAGACCAGAGCTGCCAGGGTAGCTGCCTCCCCCACTGCTCTACTTCCTGCTGCCAGGTGTCTGTCCGCAGGTACAGACTGCTGGGTAAAGCTGCCCCATGTACAGAGCTCCGAAGCACAGGACTGTGTATGTGTGCAGGGACGCCGGCCTCAAAGGGCCTGGTTCCCGGACACCTGCACCCACAGAATCAGCTGAGATTTGTTTTTTGTTTTGGGGTTTGTTTGTTTTTTTAATCAAAATCTTCCTTTTAAGGTTGTTTCCTTCTATTGCGATTAGCAACTGTCATGTACTCTTGAGGGACCATGAAAGAGAGGAAGGAAGGAAATAGCATATCCACGGAGGACCTGATAAATGTTAGTCAAGATTCAGATGACACTCTAAAGACCCTGCCTAACCTGACCCTCGGAGCAAACCCACGGGACAAGAGTGGCAGCCCCTCACCGTGCTCCACACATAAGGAGCAGCGCAGGGCCTTGACGGCCGATTAAATTTGGCCTTTCCAGACGCTGCAACCTTCGGTGTCTCGGGCTCCAAATCTGCGCTTTCCCCAACATTCTGCTCTCTGCCTTGCTCCCCTGGAGATGCTGATTCAGAGGGTCTGGGACAATGGGGCCAAGGGATTTGTGTTTTAGCCAGCATCCCAGAGGACTCTAACCATCAGGAAAGGTCATGTATCTAGGGTTGATGTGTGGGTGGGGTGAAAAGTCACTAAGAGTGCAACCCCCTCATCCTCCAAGCTAGACAGGGTCCTAGGAACCAGGTCTCTAGGCCACATCAGGACTACACCAAGTTCATCTGCCTCAGATGGATAGTGGGATCTCTGTGTCACATGATTGTTTGTGGGATTAAATAAATAGCATAGATAGTATGCTGGGCACCAAGGAGGAGCCCCTAAGTATGGTTCCCTGCCACTTTCATCTAAAGGACCAAGGCTGGCAGAGCAAGCAAGCTCTCCCTCCACCAACTTGGTATCCCTCCAGTGATCCAAATTATCTGAGTTGTAACCCAGCTAACAAGGCAGATAAAGTGTTTTTTGTCTTTCATCTAGTTGAAGTCTATTGTCTGCTACAGATTCCTTGCTAGGAAATGCGTTGGGAGGCTCTAGGACAGACATTTTGGACACTTTCCGAAGAGCTGGCCCATTGCAGCAGGCGGCAAGCATCTCTGGCCTGGGAACTTCCAGCCTTTGGTGAGGAAGGGCACAGCAGACTGGGGCAACAGGGATCAGCCTCCACAGTGGAAAGGCAGCTCAGCCACCCTCCCAGTGATGAGTTAACGGACTGGAAGGTCTATGAAGAAGGTCGACTGTGACCACCATACCAGGAACAGCAGCTTTGGCCTGAGGCAGGTGTAGCCCAAGGACGGTGCTGGGAGGCCTGCCCCTGAGGAGCAAGAAGTGCCTGAAGGGGGACTGGCCTTCCCTGAAGGTCATTCCTGAACAGGATGTGGGGGAGGGGCAGCAGATACAGCTCCTTTTCAGCCAGAAAACCATGGAGAGTGTGCTCTGAGACTGATGGGGGAGGGACGTTTGAGGTCACCCAGCCTGATCAATCCTACTCAGGACAGGAGTCCTTCTCCTGTGTGGCTTGAACACCTTTTGCCATAGGGAGCTTGTCCCTCATGAGGCAGCATGCTGCCTGGAGACCCTCTCTGTGGGAAGGAGGAGGAGACGGGTCATGTCCATTCCCCAGCATGTGAAGGGCCAGAGACTGGCTCTGCTTTCTGTGTCTGCATGCCCGCCATGCAGGGGTCTCTGGGCTGTGACGAGAGAAGAGGAACCTACATGAAGTCTCCAGCTTGCATAAGCCCAAGCCTCAAAGGAGAAGCCCCTAAGAGCTGTCCCTATTTCCTGTGAAGTGTGCTGGTGCCATGTCCCATGGTCAGCAAGAAAAGGTCCTCCCTTCCCCTCCCTCCCTTCTGTCCTTTTCCTTCTCTTTTTCTTCCTTCTCTCTCAGCCTCCCTCCCTTTCTCGCTAAACATTTAGGAAACTCCTACTTTGGGTTCAGTGTTGCACAGACTGGGGTCCTGGAAAAGTTGACCACAGGGGCTCAGCCCAAGGATGAGACGGATGGGCCATCGTGATGATGCCCTTCTACTGTCGTGTCACAGCTTTACAGAGCACTATCCAAGTGAGGTCCCAGGAATGCTGGATGCATTCACTCCCAGGCCACTGCCCTGCTCACAGTCCTCCGTTGCCCTGAAAGCAAAATGGAACCCCTTGCCTAGGCCCTGCTTGACCTGGCCTTCCTCCTTCCCCACCCCCATCTCTGCCTCAGTCACTCTGGCTCCTGGTCCCTCCAACAGAAAGCTTCCCCACTAGGGGCTCTGCCTAGGTTGCTCCTTCTGCCATCGTCCCACCCATCCTCCTCCGGGGCCACTACCTCGCCTTCAGCTCTCCACTCAAAGGGCATTTCTATTAAAGGGCACCCTTGGCTCCTGTGGCCCGAAGAGAAACCCATCACTGTGTTCCCTGCTTCATTTGTCTTCATGTCACTTCTCAGCATCCTGATACGTATCTCTTTGTTGTTATTTCTCTTCCCCCGTGGAACACAAACTCCAAGGGAGTGGAGCTTTGCCAGCTCTGTGCGCGGCTGCATCCCCAGATCCTAGCCCCAAGACTGAGTGAGTGAGAGGCCGTGCCCACAAGTGAGTGGTGAATGGCGGGGAAGCATGGAGACTTTGCTAGATCTGCTTCAGTTAACAAAGGGGAATCCCTGGCCTGCTGCCCTCAGGCTCAGCAAACGCGTTCTGAAAGAAGTCCAGAAAACCTCATTCTATGGGAAGATGGAGCTAATGGTACAAAATCAACTGGAGACATTGGGCAGCAGGATCTTTGTCCAGTGACTTCCGCTTAAGCCTCAGTTTTCTTGTCTTTAAAATGGGAATAATATCGTTTACCAGTTATAGAGGTCCAAGTGTGTATGCATGCTTGATTCCCCATTTTCACTAAGAGGAGAGCAGCTGGGTCATTCATTCTCTGGAAAAACATGGAGCTTCAGGAAGGATATCTAACTTGCTGAAAGTCACCCAGCTGCAAAGGGGCAGGCCAGGGCGTGTCTGATCCCAAGGCCATGCTCCCCTGTTTACTCGGGTCGAAATGGTGATCTACCTAACAGTGAATGTAACAAAGACCAGGTGTTGTGAAGTACAAAACATTTTGCAAACACAAGTCATTATGTGGATGTTTTGGAGTTCTAACTCTCTGAGAAAGAAAGGACTAACTTTATTTAGATGAGCTATTCTCTCTTTGGACTTTTAGAAATCCTAGAATCCTAACTGGGCCCACTCTGTGGGCATGCAGTCTTCTTCCTAAGAGTAGCAGGGAATCTGAGGTGGGAAGAGGTGGCTCCAATCCATGGGGCGCTCCAGGCACCCTCCTGGCAAACCTTCAGGCCAAGAGTACTCTCCGTCTGCTCTGTCTTACAGGAATAGAATCTAAGCCACGTGGAGATTTGTCCCTTCATCCACTGTCCTGGAAACAGCCATCAGGATGACCAGAGTGGGAATGTGGGGCTAAAGATTCAATCACCAATGGAAGCTGGAAGAAGGGAACCATGGGTCACCAGGGGTGCTGCACAGAAGGGAAGAGAATGACAAAGTATCAAGTGTCTATTTTCAGGCAGGCCTCAGAGGAAATCCTGCTTACATCACTTACTAGCTGCGGAGCCTTAGGCAAATCATGGAGCCTCTCTGGGTCTCAGTTTCCACATCTGTAAACTGGGCAGAGGGTTTGTAGGCACTTCCTAAAGTTGTAAGATCATCTTTGCTGAGCTCACACCATGGTGCCTGGTGCCCAACACATGCTCAGAGCATACTGGTCATGTGGTGTCACCAGCTGCTACTGCTCTCAAGGCACCACGTCCTTGCTCCCTGTCCTCATGCCCAGTGGGAGGCATTGCCACCGTCCACCCCTCCAGCAGGAGCTAGAGTCCCATGGGCTCTCCCTTCTTGCATCTAACCAATCCCAGCTCCTGCTGGCTTGGCGTCCTATTTCACCACAACTATCCTGAACTCTGTGTCCCTCCACCACTGTCTTCACCCGTGGCCCTACCTCCACTGCCACTGCAACCCCAGATCCCTGTCACCACTCATGTCACCCACATGCTTCACAAGGAAATCATCTATTATAGATGAAGAGTCAGCCTCCTTACTACACAAAAAACCCTCTACTTGTCAGTAAGAAAAAGTCAAGACCACAGGAGGAAGCCATTTCCATAGGAATAATTACAATGGCTGAAAGGCATGAAAAACAGTTCAGGATGACCAGTAATGGAAAAAAAGAAGTGACTTTAAATGAGGATATAGCGGGATGCCTGGGTGGCTCAGTTGGTTAAGCATCAGCCTTGGGCTCAGGTCATGATCCCAGCGTTCTGGGATCAAGTCCCGCATCGGGTTCCCTGCTCAGCGGGAAGCCTGCCGCTCTCCCTTGTTTGTGCGGTTTCGCTCTCTCTCTGACAAATAAGTAAGTAAAATCTTTAAAAAAAAATAAGTAAATTAGGATATAGCAAGTTTTACCTACATGTTAAAGATACAATCCTACTAAGGTAAAATAAGATGCATATATAATATGTAATGTATAGAATATGATAATATATTTATGTCACATATAATATTTATTATTTATATTCCACTAAACTATTAACTCTGGTCATATTTGGGTTTGTGATTAGGAATGACTTCTTTTCTTTACGGTGATTTTCTATGGTTTCCAGGTAAGTGTGAATTGATTTCATACTCTTCTCTTACCACCTCCTGCATCTCTCTTTCCCTCTTTCTCTCCCCTTCCTCTTCCCCTTCCCTGCCCTTCTTCCCCCACCACTGTTTCCACACCGTACACCGTCCCACTGCTGCAGCCAAACTCAGGCCCATCAAGACTCTTAATGGCCTGTTTGGGCCTGCTGGTCCACCTCCAGCTCCTGCTTCTCTGCTCTCACTGTTTCTTCACGGAAACGGAATAACTCACGGTCCCCAGCACACGGTAGGCTGCTTCACTTCTACACCCGGCCAAGCACCACCTGCCCTTCAGAGTCTATCTGGAGCCCTACATGCTCCGCGAAGGCTTTGCTGGCCCCTCCCCGCCAGCCCTCCCCCTGCTGGGTCAGTGTCCTCCCTTGGCTCCCAAGCAGACCGACAGCCCCTCCCCATGGCATTGTGTCCCCTGTTCTGCTGCCCATACTCTCCCGCTTACTTCTGACTTCCCCCCAGCTCGTGCACTTTTCTGGACAAGGCCAAGGGTTTGTGCATCTTTGTGTCCTCTAAGCTCACAGCACCTGCCACATAATGAGATGCTCAGGAAATACTTAGGGAACTGAACAAACGTGACATTTGGCATTGTGGGTAGATAGGTATGTGTTATTATTCTCATTTAAAAATGAAGCTATCAAGCTCAGAGAGGTTAAGTAAATTGCCCAATTTCACACAGGTCAGTGGAAAAGCTTAGCGTTAAACACAGTTGTTTAGGACAGGGGGGAAGGTCTAACCTTAAGCCTTAGGGTCAGGCTCCGAAGCGCTCTCCACTGCTGTAGGCTTAATAAGGAACAAGACACATTTTAGGGAGCAATGGAAGGGAGGGAGGAAGGGGTGGCTAAGGTAATAGTAATAGCATCTAATAAATTACTGAACCCACACCCAAGGCACTGTCTTAAGCACTTGACATACCTCAGTTCATTTTAAAAACCCTATAAGGAAGGAGCACTGCTAGCCCCATTTTAGAAGTGAAAAAGCACAAAACACAAAACACAAAGAACAACTGAGTCATGGCCAAGTTTAGCCCCTTGCCCTAGTCACAGACTCAACATCTGGAGCTCCACAGTCCAGCTCACAGCCCAGCTCATGGCCAGCACTCTGAACTTGAGCCATGCTGCCTGGTGGCCGGCGAGCGACTGGCTCCATTGCCTCCAGGGCCTCAGGGCCTACCGCACCAAGGCTGCAGAGGCCACTGTCATGCCACAGGATGGTGCTGGAATGTTTCAGGACCGGAGCTAAAGCCCCCCCCCCCCCATTGGTGCCTCATCCAGAAGATGAGGGGTCCCTGCCCAGGCTCACTGTTCCTCACAGCCCCCGGGGAGTGGCTCACAAAGCAGGCATCTCTGAGGGGGGCAGGGTGTGAACCACTTGATAATGTGAATCAAGGGAGGAGGTGAGGAACCAAACTGCCTGCGTCTATGCTGTAAGGCACAAATCCCCCTCATCTTACTGACCCTTCCCCTCTGCGCTGTGTGCACAGAAACCCACCCTCAGAGAGAGAAAGCTGGTAGAGCTGGGACTTGTACCCATGGCTGTCAGATGGTTCCAGATAAGCATGCTGGATTTGTCAGACAGTCGCAGACTGGTCCACAATATTCCTAATCTCCCAGAGAATAGTCTGCTGTACCCTCTGTGTCCTAAGTCCTGGGCTGAGTTCTGATGGAGGTGGGAAGAGGAGGCTAGCAGCAGGAATGGCACTGGCTTGGCACATGGGAGATGCCAGCCCCTGCTGCTGTGAATGACCCCCTAGCCCAGCCTCAGTTTTCTTATCTGTAAAATGGGAGGGTTGGATGTCAAGCACTGTCCTCAGGTCCTTTTCAGGGTTAACGTCTATGTGTCAGTGTTACTTGTGTTACCCCTGTTCTGTGCAAGCAGAAAGACAAGATCGAGCACCTCCATGTGGGGGCGGGGGGCGGGGGCTGCAGCAGTGAATGTGCTCGATGCACATGCTCACCCTGTCGCAGGACGGACCTCGCTGACCTTGCTTTCCTCAGCTACAAGGCTCTGAGGACTGAGTAACGGATGCAAGGTCAGGTGGACACCTATATGAACACAAATGCTTTGCAATTCCACGGGGACAACATGCACGGACACCTAATGGGCCAGTGCTAGGCTCTGGGCAACCCCACAGGAAAGACACTGGCATGACTTGCCTATTTTGTTGATGAGTACAGTAAAGTCCACAGAGGTTTAATGATTTTCCCAAGGTCATGTTCATGCTAGATGATTCTTGAGTGGCTTAATTTAATAACGATGCTCTGGAAACGGACCCCATGTGATGAAGAAAAAGTACCAGGGAGGATGGAGTCCAGGAACCATACCCAGTGGTCTGCTCAGTGGAGGATGGGGGCACAGGCCTCTTTGTGGCAGGTATTCCCCAGCACACCATCATGCAAGGCCAAGCTTCCCAGGCAACAGGTGTCACCTTGAGTCCCACAACCAGAGTCGAGAGCTGGCCGACCTGATCCCAGACTGGCCCCAATGTTGGGCTTGCTCCTCTCCACCTCAGGAGGGATCGGTCCCTAGAGACAAAGAGTTTTTTTTTCTCCCGATGAGTGGCCTTTTCCCTCACAAGGGCTGCTGCGGACCCCTACCCACACTTTCTGGAATGGCTTTCTGTGACCATGGGTGGTCTCTATGGTAACCAGGGTTTTCCAGCCACCCTTGCCATCGGGCTGCACCTCCTCTCTGCTTGCCCAGGGCCCCGCAGGCGTAGGCCAGCTGGGCTGGCAGACGACTGAGGCCGCAGGCTGGAAGTGCTCTCGGAGCAGGGCAGGGAGGACTCTGTAAGTGACCTCTGTCCAGCTCCATCCAAGGTGTGAGGACAGGGGAAAGGATCTGCCCAGGTGGAGCAAGGGTGGGAGGAGAGTGCAGCCCTCCCACTCCCCAAGCTTCTGGACCCTTCCTCAACCCCGCGTGGTCTGAACATTTCATGTTAGTGTCTTGCAGGCCGCAATGTGTATACCCAAGACCAGACCCCAGGGCCCTTCTCCATTCACTCTGTTTGCCCAGCCCAGAATCTATTAAGTGCCCCCAGCTAGAGCTGCACGCTCCCTGCCTGAGCCCAGGTCAGGCACTTTCATGCCAGCTGCCTTATGCCCACCTGACTGGTCCCACTCTGTGCCCTTCTCACGAGCCAAGTGCCAGTACAGCTGAGCCCTATGAGCTTCCCCAGCCCAGAACCATCTCCACACTGTGCTTAAAGCCTTGTCTATGAGGTATTCTACACCAGCAAGGGGGACATCCTCCCAGTCTTGGCAGCACCCTAGGGGCAGGAACTCTGTGTCACTGCCACTCTGATGTCCCCACTGGAGGCTCAGGGCCTGACACAGAGTGCTTGGTGAATGAGGAATGAATGAAGAATGAATGAATGAATCTATGAAAAGAAGGAAGAGAAGTGGGTGTAGTGGTGGGGAAGATGTACAAGTGAGGAAGGGGGAGAAGGAGAGGAGGGGGTGTCTGGGACCCCCTCTACTTACCTAGCCGGGACCGGAAGCTTCGAACCGTGTTGCCCCCTCCCGGCTTCGCGCCCCTCCGACTGTATTTCTCATAAAGCCGGAGCATGTGGACAGCGACCATGTCTTGGGCGCCAGGGCCCAGAGTGGTGGCGGCGTCCCCCGGGGACCGCCAGGGGTCCTTGACTCCAGCCTGGCCATCAGCGGCTGCAGGCGGGGCGGACCAGGCTGGTGCCTGGTGGCTGCATCCCGCGTCCCGGAGCAGCAGCAGAAGCAGAGGCAGCAGCAGCAGCAGTTGGGTCGTCTGAGCAGGGCCACGGGCCATGGTGGGTGGCGGCGGCGAAGGGTCGAAGCCGGGGAGGAAGAGAGAACGTGCGGGCGCACGGGAGGCTGCGGACCGACCCTGTGGCGAGAGGGCGCGAGGGGCGCTGGGTGCAGAGATCCGCGCGGGGCGCGGAGTGGAGCAGGGTGGGAGCCGAGCGCTCAGGTCTGTCCGAGCCGCGCGAGCCCCGGGCCAGCGGTCACAGCCGTCTGGAGCCCCGTGGAGCCGAGCCAAGCTCGAGCCGACGCGACGCCCCTGCGGACTACCGCCGCGAAACTTTGCAGCCCACAGCGCGCCCGGCTCGGCGGGTTCGAGGGGCGGGGCGGGGCGGGGCGGCCGGCGGCGCCCTCAGGGGGACCGGCTGTGCGCCCCAGACCACGCGGGGCCTCCGCCGACAAGGTAGTCCCTGGGCCGGCTGCGGTGTGCGTGCGCCCGTGTGTGGCGGCGTGCGCGCGCAGGGGTGTGCGCCCGAGTGTGCGCCTAGGAGTGTGGGGGGCGTGGGCGTGGGCGAGCGCGCTCCCCGCTCCCCTGCGAAGAGACAGAGACCCAGGACCCGGCCGGCTCCTGTGTGTTGGCGCCGCAGCCTGGGCAGGGTTGCGCGGGGGCTGGGGCGGCCTTGGGAGGGGGTCCCGCCTGCCGGGTTGCCCCTGTAATGGCATGTGATGACTATGTGGTTGCAAGATGACAGGTCCCCCGTGAGGACCCGAAAGGGGATGTGTGTGCCCCCGGCTGGCTCTGAGCAGGGTATCCAAAATGCAAGAGTGAGGGGAACACGGACCCTCTCTGGGCAGCCTCTGAAAAGAGAAATCCTAACCCCAAAATTCAGCCAACCCAGGACAAATGGAAGAAGATCCACATTAAAATTCGGAATTAGTCCATTAACTGACTCTGGTTTTAGCAACAATGATTCCAGTTGCTGAAGAAGCACATCAAAGGTCTTTATTAATCTTTGGACATGTAGTCATCAGGATTGTCCTGGAAAAGGACGTGGTTTTTCAAATTGCCTTTCAAAACGTTTCCATAGCGTCAGGATAGGAGAAGAGAAAGCAGTAGCTTTTCCAAGGTTTCACAATAAAGTGAGGGTACAGTGAATCCCTGCCCCACATCTCCTCCTCTTAGCCCTGGGGCAGGAGGTCCTGAACTTCATCATGCTTTCATTGCGGTTTCTTGTCCATGGATAGAATTTCAGGGGGCCTGCGAACTTGGATGGGGAAAATTTACATTTTTATTTTCAATAACCTGTAACTGAAACTTAGCATTTCCTAATATTAGAAATGCAAGCAACCAACCACAATGGTATTAACTATGTCTGTGACTTCCATGAATTAATAAAAAGGCAGATATATTGCTATGTTGTAAAGTTATTTTTCATAATATTTGGGTAAGTATACTTTAATGTAATTGGCTTCCTTGGTAATATTGTATATTAAAAACGTTCTTTTGAAAAGGGGTCCACAGGTTTAATCAGACTGAGAAAGGGATCCAAGGGCCACACAAAATATTTACAAATTCTTGTGAGGGAAGGAAAGGACCTCTTCAAACCCATGTTCTTTCAGAACTATCTAGGATACTGCCTATGCTACATTTCAAAGGACTGTTTGCAAACTTGTGAACACCCTGTTCCCTTTACTTGGTAACTTTGGGCTCTGTGAGCCAGAATCGTTACTTTTCTTGGAGGGCTCACAATGCAATAATTGAAAAATTGCTGGAAAAAGCTTCTGTTGGTGTGTGAAATACAACCTATTTGTAATTCTTTTTAAATCTTGCAGTGTCCAATTAGAGGCTATCCTATTGAAAGCCTCTGAACCTCAAGCCTGTAGCTTTTGGAAAACTATAGAGAAGCATTTTATTTATTTTGATAATTATCTCACATGGCATTAAACTTCCCGTCAATGTAGCTCCCGTTTGTTCTGTGAAACAGCTTTCCAAAACTGCTTGCCTGGAGGTGAGATGATCAGAGTCACAGTCTTAGACCTGATCAATCTGTCCTTACAAATGATCTGCACCGACTTTCAGTTCTCCCTTTCCCCCATCCCCACCCCCACCCCCCTCCTTCTCCGTGTGCCCCTCACTTCCCCTCTCCCCTCCTCTCCCGTTCTCCCCCAGAATGCCTCTGACCTGTACCGGCTGGGGGTAACCTCTGCTCATGGGTAGTTTTGTCTCTGCTGGGGCCATACACAATCGAGGCCTGTGAAAAGGAGGGTTAGTCTGCAGGAGGCCGGGACAAGCTGGGCTATTCGGGATCTGTGTCCATTAAAGCCTTCTTGCGCTCCTTAACTCATTCCCCCTCCATTCAAGCTAGCCTGAGGGTCAGGCTTTAGCCAGCCCTAAAACCTGTAGGGTACAGATACTCTGAATTGTTAGGAAAGAATTAAGGCATCAGCCAGGGACGGCTAATATTTCTTGCCTCATTTTATTGCTGAACAGCGGGACTGTAAAGTCTTGAACACTGGAGCACTATGGCTCCCTTTCATGTAGCCGAGATGATGGGATAAAAATGTGTTTGGTGAAGCAATTCAGATTACCACTGGGTCACATCCTCGCTGGCTCTCAGCACGGCCTGCAAACAGCATCACTGAGACAAGAAACAATCGCTGTGCAATTCAGCTCATGCAGAACAGGGTTTCTAGCGTGGAAATGAGGCTAATTGTGGAGTTGCCAATGAGAATGTTTTGTTTTTAATAGCTCAGGCTGTAGCTCAAAATAAGAGTTGAGATGGCGGACTGTGGATTCAAGTCCCAAGAGCTGTGATTTCTGACAGCTTCTTCCTAAAAGGATCGGGGTCTTGGGAGTATCATACACTATTCTTACCAAGAGCACTGAGGTCTTGGACTTGCCTGCTGCGACAGAAAGGGCTCTCCCAGGAGAGATAAGAGGTTGCTTGGGGGCCCTTAGTCTCCCAGATCTGTCTGACAAATTCTCTGGGTTCCTTACACTCAGAAAATCCCGAGGAAGAAGTGAAGAAACTCAATGGTTAGGAAGCCCCATGCCTGGGACAGTTCTAAGAAGCAAGCTCATTTGTTTTCCTCTGAATCTCTCCGCAAATAAACACCCCATGAAATGTTTCTGAGCAACTGTTTCTTGATATTGTCCAGTTAACATGGGGTGGAGTCAGTTTTCAGCTCTTGCTAGCTCTGCCACTAGCCCCATTGCCTCTTTGGAACCCTAGACGTTCCCGTTTACGTGAGAAGCCTGAGCCCTGAGCTCTGTTTCAGCTACAGTGCTGTATTCCTGGGTCTGTGGCCTCATGCCAACCCTTTTTTGGAAGTGAGAGAGTCAATGTGACTAGGTCTGTGTGCCTGTTTTCACCACCACCTAGCTGTATGGCCCTCAGCAAGTTGCTTGAGCTCTCCAGGCCTCAGTTTCTCCAGCTCTAAAATGGGGACAGGAGCAAGGTATTCTGAGGATCATTAGTAAGGGTTTAGCACAAGATAGAACTAAATAACATTAATCCTGTTATTACTCTTTGTATTTCTTGTGCATTCGAAAGAGATTGTAGCCTATTTGAAGCGGACCCAGACTCTGGGAGATTTGGTGAGAGGTTCAGCCCAGGCTTGCTCTGCAGAGGAAATGCATTTCTTAGTGCACAGTGCCAAGAGCTAAAAAGAAAAGGAAAAGAAGGAGAATGTTTCCATGATTAGGAAGTCACAGACCTCTACCGGTGGTATCTGTGGGTCCCTGTCCAGCAGTTGGGGGGGATGACTGATGGCTCTTCATCTAGACTTCCAAAGCTCTTGGCCCTCCAGGACAAAAGAGTTGTGAGTGAGTCCCTGTTCCCTTTTGGGGTATGAGCTGTGAAAAAGCAGCTGAAGAGTTTGCAGGGGCGCTGGAGACAAGAATCCCAGGGCCTCCCCAGGCCGCCGGGCCCGAGTGTAATAAATCTGTGAAATAACAAGCACAAAGGACTTTATAATCAATGACAGATTTTATTTTTGCTCTGGCAAAATCCATCCGTGGAGCTAAGGTTTTATAGGGAAATAACTACCCACTTTGTGACTCCTCCTCGGCCCATATTCTCTTTCTTAAAGTCGGGAAAAGCTCAGAGAATCAAAGTCAGCTCCTCGGAGAACTGTGGCAGGAGAAAGCATGACTTCCCCTGGGCGGGAACCCAACCCTCCCGTTACTTCCTAGGGTGGCTCGGGCCATTCATTTCTGTTTTGCTAAAATAGCCGTGACATGTGAATAAAGCAGGATTACAGAACATTGTCTCGGTCAGTAATCTGAGCCGGCATGGGCTCTGGTTCGATGAAATATGGTGCTCTCTGAGCAAACATGAGAATTGGTATGACTTCTCGTTAAGGCTGAACAGTGGGACTATTTAGAACTGACGCATGAATGCTGCACTGTGGGGAGTGACAATCTGAAGGCAGCCGATTTGGGGGAGGGGGTGGTGGGGTGTGTGAGGGGGCCAGAGTGAGGCTGCGGGAGACGCAGCCAAAGAGACACTTGGGAGTTAGCTCCCCCTTCAAGGCTGGCTGTGCTCCTGACAACCCCAGAATAATCCTTCTTAGAACCTTCGAAGGAGGGACAGAGGCTTATGTCCTTATCCTGGCATTTGAGCCCTTCTGGTCTGGCCTGCATACCCCCTCTGTCTTGGTACATGTCTCTCTAGTCTCTCTTCCCACCGGTTGTCTTATGTCCTGGGTTCAGAAGGACACGCATCCTCTTGATAAAACTGCTAGCCTTCTCTGCCAGTGCTTTCCTGGTGTGCTAACCACCCAACACCCCCTCCCCAGCCCGGGTGCTCGTTCCCCAGGCTGCTAGGGTGGTGGTCTGCTGCTGGCCCACTGCTGAAAACCTCCCAAGGGACTGTCTCACCCAAACCTGTCCCCTTGCCCCCGACAGCCCCAGTGCAACCCCTGGGCACAGATGGGTGTGAAGACCCGACATGCTAGCCCTGAAGCAGGTCAGCTCTGAAGGCTTCTTGGCTCCAGGATTTGCCCTGGGCTCTGCCAGGACCCCTGTCCTAACCATATCACATTCGCCTTCCCAGTGTGATGAATCCCGGTTTCCACGAGCACATTCCCATGAACTTCTGCATACACAGTTCCATCTCAGAGTCTATTTCCCAAGACACCTGACCCATGGTCGTTGGTGCCAGGAGAGATCTGAAGAAGTGGGCTCTAACATGGGACCTGGGGACAGGGTCATCTACTCTGATGATGGCAAAGAGGACTCTCTCTGACTGGTGTGGCTAGAGTCCAGATAGCCCTTGGTGTGTG